GTGTCTGATACAGTGTCACTCAATCATGGCCGTGTCTGACATAGCGTCACTCCCTTTATGGGCGTGTCTGATACAGTGTCACTCACCCAGCTCCGTGTGTTAAAACCGTTGAGAACCGAAGCCTGTCTCATCTTTAGAAACAGTGCCTCGTACCACAGAGCTCAAACTAGGGGATCCGGGGGGATCTCTCAGAGGGGTCTCTCCAAGGCTGACTGGCGCCACACCCACACGCCCGAACCCACGACACCCTGAGCCTCACACAGTACTTCCGCCTTTCCGAGCTCCCACCGTCTGCTGGGGAAGACATGCTTTTCTGGCTGGGGGCTCGAGTTTTTTTATAACCCCCCTCTCAGCTCAGAAACAAGGGCCTGAGCTTGTGCACTGACCTGCCGGTGCCTGGACCCCCACGGAGCGTGCCCCCCCACCTGCGGCCCGCCGCCGCAGGCGCCGCCGCAGGGCCTCGTTCTCCCGCCTGGCCCGGGCCAGCTCCAGCCGCGCCGCCGCCATGCTGCCCTCGAACAGCGCCGAGACCTCGCACACCGCCGCCCGGAACAGCGCCTCCATGACGGAGGCCAGCTGGCTGCGGAAGGGCATCCCGGCTCTCGGAGATCGGAGATCCGGGTCTCGGCCCAGCCCCCGCCGGGTCTCCCCTCTCTACAGCAGGGCGTCCATGTGAGAGGGGCACAGTCTGGAAAGCGCCGGACCTGGACTTCGGGGCAGCGGCCTGGGAGGGAGAGGTCAGAGGGAAGAGTTACTGCCCCGTCTGTGCCACGCACCCTCGTATCCCCCTGCAGCTCCCAGCAGGCAGCCCCCTGGAGCTCAGCAGGAGGGAGCCCGGTCAGTACCTGGAGGGGAGACTCCTGGGAAAGCCAAGGCTGCTGCTGGAAGAGGTGTTAAAAGGGACCAGTAGGGGGCGCTCACCCTGCAGTCTGTGTGGGTCCTAATGCCCCAGTACAGTGACGGGGTCACTTTACTGTAAAAAGGCGGTGTCCTTTGGGTGATATGTAAAGCTGAGGTACTCGATGACCCCCATCCAGCTGTGTGATGAAAGAAGCCTGGGTATCAGTTTCAACAACATGGTTGGACAGCTTGTTCCACACCCCCACCACCCTTTGTGCAAAGAAGTGATTCCTGTTTTTTTTTTCTGTATGAAATCATTTATCTCCTCTGCAATTTCACTTTTCAATAATGCAAAAGAAGTACGTATTTTACTGTATTATGTACTTCTAATATATGTTCCTCAAATACTGTTTAGCAGGACCTCTTGGTTGGTGAAGGCTTGTTATGCTGCACTCGGTCGCAAAATAAATAAATGATAGGGCGTAATTAAATAAAGTGTGAAAACATAACTGTTCTCGGTTTTCAACGTGCTTCTCGCGTTTACAGAAATCACTATTGGAACAACGAATCTGAATGATACTAACAGCAGTTATTCACCATTTCAGGCATGCTACATATTCTCAATGTGGTGGTCCATCCTTCCCAGTCCCGGTAAGGACTGCACCTGCGTCATCGCGGGCACGGTGATGCTAAACTGCATCTGCGGACAGCCTCGTCACGGCTCAAACGTGTCCAGTCATCCCAGAAGAGATACCGCCGCCGTGTTAGTCTGCAAGCATCCCATTATCTCAGTGAACAAAATTAATGAATGGCGATGTCCAGTCAATCCCGGTGTATTCTACTCTATACGAACACGATGAGCTCACTGCCTCTTCTAACCGCAGTATGAATAGTTAACGGGAACCACCCTAGGCTTCATATTTGAAAGGCACACACTGCCATTCCATATGTACTACCTTCAGGTTATTTTTCACCTTCGTAATCCCACGATGTTGTACTCATTCTGTATATTCATTGACCGTGGGTGTTGCCCATGACGAAAGGGGTTTACACCGAGAATTCGTACAAGTTCTCCTTTCTTGCCTTTTCGCTCAGTTCCGGCTTTATGCATCCTCCAAACGCCACCCTTTTTGTCAGAAACATGAAGTAACGAGATACTCATTTTGTACACTGCCCCGACACGTAGGCTTCATGTGGCGCACCTAGGGTTGCGTGCTGGACGGTTGTACACAGTGAAGGTTTCTATACCGTCTGTAGCAGCGTATCATATATACGTGGATTTAAGACGCACGACGTGATACATTAAGCGTAAACAATCACAGTATAAAGAGACAAAACGTTCACGGTTCACTGAACGACCTGTGACAAGCACGCTAGGAATTGAGACCGCATCGAAGTGCAAAAACCATCCATCGTGATGGGCGATTTACAGCAAGGCTTACGCAAGGGTTACGCAGCTCACGGACAAAACTCTGCCCCGCAGCGGGTCTGGCTGTCCCAGGCGGTGACTCCCCAGGCTGTCACACGTACTCCCCGCCAGCAGGCAACAAGAACAGCAGCTGACAAACAAAGCTAGGAAGCGGACAGGAGTCCACGGTTGGGCCCCTACGGCAGCCTTGTTTGGACAAGCAGAACCAGGCTGCTGCATGCGCATTTGATGCGACATCTGCAATTTGGGCATAGAAATACCAATTATCACTCTGAAAAACGGAAGTCGGGATCCTGTAAATAATGCAACTCCGTAGTGACTGTAATGGAGGTAGACCCTGCCTTGAGAAAGGATAGGTTTACTGACCACAGCTTGTCTGTAGAAACTGGACACGGACAGACCAGAACGCCTCAGTAGTGGGAGTCACTACGGTGCTGGTTCAGTTCTGGTGCAGCCCAGGAGTGGGTGTCGGTTCTACAGAACCAGGAGGCCATATCAGTGTAACGGTAGAAGAGTGTTTTCCAGCCCCCCAGGTTAGTGAACTTACACTGCATTTACAATTTGTCTGCCATTATAACGGCAAAATTCTGCTTCGGTAATTCAAGAGCCCCAATGCTTAGAATATACAGTAGGTTCCAAAGACTTCAGAAAAATCAGGCAACACTATTTATTATGTACTTTATTAAGATGTTTATGCTTTACAAAATACATACAAGAACTTGGAAGTATTTTTCCCCAAAATTATTAAATAGGTTCCATGCAAGGAACATGTCCATTATCCCTGAGTTTGTCTTCCCCTCTGAACATGAACAAACACTCCAAGTCCACCGTATCCCTCTGTCCCACTGCTCTGTCAGCTCCCAGCTCAAGAAATCTCTGACCCACTCCCACCCGTGCATCCCAGACAGGCCCACAGACACACAGGAGAGCCCTGCCAGCTCCAGGAAGCCAGCGCTCAGCCTGGTCTACCACTGCCCCCCAGGGCTAGACAGAACAAATACCCCAGACCTGGCCTACCACTGCCCCCCAGGGCTAGACAGAACAAATACCCCAGACCTGGCCTACCACTGCCCCCCAGGGCTAGACAGAACAAATACCCCAGACCTGGCCTACCACTGCCCCCCAGGGCTAGACAGAACAAATACCCCAGACCTGGCCTACCACTGCCCCCCAGGGCTAGACAGAACAAATACCCCAGACCTGGCCTACCACTGCCCCCCGGGGTTGGACAGCAGAAAAACCCCAGAGCTGGTCTGCTACAACACTGCCCCCTGGGGCTCTATAGTAGAAATACCCCCAGACTACCACTGCCCCCTGGGGCTGGACAGAACAAATACCCCAGACCTGGTCTGCAACAACACTGCCCTCTGGGGCTCTAAAGTGGAAATACCCCCAGACTACCACTGCCCCCTGGGGCTGGACAGTGGAAACACCTCAGACGTTGACTACAACAACCCACCCCCGGTGCTACAAAGGAAACACCCCAGACCTGGTCCCTGGTCTACAGCGTCCCTGCCAGGCCTGGCACAGCGAGCCACAGGCTGGCAAGGGCTCAAGTACAACCCCTGATCACCAAGGCCTGTTCGCCCGTGCCAAGAACGGCCCAGGACTGCTGCCCCGCGCTCAAGCCTTCATGCGCCAAGGCTGGCAGCAACAGAGAGGAGAAAAAAATCACAGCAACAGGGTCAGGGCTAAATCAGGTTTTCCCATCCCAGAATAAGTGGGTTCTTGTGGATCCTGTGTGAAGTTCTAGAGCAGCAGTTCAGAAACATCCGTCCGGTTGCTCAGCGGGAACTGAAAGCTTTCCGCGTCGAAAACAAACCAGACCCCGACGAGACGCTGAGCTCCAGCAGCCTGACCTCTCCAGTGAGCGCGGCCCGCGCCGGGCCCTACACGCCCCCGTACAGGTGGATCTTGGCAAAGGAGACGGACTCATAGGCGTCCCGGTGCCCTTTCTCATAGACCACGTAGATGTACTTCCTGTCCTCCACGCGGCCGCGCAGCGTCGTCATGGAGGAGTAGGCGCTGGGGCCCCGCCACAGCCGCAGCGTCCGGGGCTCCCAGGACGAGCCGTTGGTGAAGGACCAGCGCAGCGTCAGGTTCACGCCTGGGGGCGGGGAGAGGGAGAGGGGTTACCGAGAGCGAGGCCACACCAGGGGGCAAGCGCCCGGCCCGGGGGTTTCTCTCTCCTCGGCCTGAAATCCGGCGCAACCCTGGCTCTGCTCACGGCCTTGTCCACGTGTGCTGTTACTAAGGCAACGTGCAGGCCCACACCCCCCACCCCACCCCAGTCACTCAATTCCCAGCAGCCCCAGTTCCCAGACTGTCTTCATGCCAGATTGATAAATAACAATTCCTCACACTTACATAGCTCTTTCCTGGACACTCCACTCAGCACTTTCTCAGCATTTTACAGGTAATGGGGATCCCCTCCACCACCCCCAGTGTGCAGCCCCACCTGGATGATACTCCAGTCTGCTCACACACACCAGCTCTCAGTGGGGAGGAGAGCAGAGTGATGAAGCCAGTTCAGAGATGGGGATTATTAGGAGGCCATGATGGGTAAAGGCCAGGGAGAAGTTTGGCCAGGACACCAGATTAACACACCTACTCTCGTTGAGAAACGCCCTGGGATTTTTACTGACCACAGGGAGTCGGGACCACGGTTTTATGTCTCATTCAGCTTTTTTACAGTATAGTGTCCCCGTCACTATACTGGGGTATTTGACCCACACAGACCACAGGGTGAGCGCCCCCTACTGGTCCCTCTAACACCTCTTCCAGCAGCAACCTTAGCTTTCCCAGGAGTCTCCCCTCCAGATACTGGCCAGGCCCTGAGCTCCAGTGGGCTGCCAGCTGGGAGCTGCAGGGTGATATGGCTGCTGGATATCTGGAGGGGAGAGGACCACAACACAGACTTGCGGACTCAGACGTTACACACTGCTGAGAGAGAGGCGGAGAGGCAAGCAGAGAGGATGGCGGGGCACCAACTGCGCCTGAGAAGAGTGTTAACAGGGTGTGTTGCATGTGCAACAGAGCTCCCCCCTCCCTGTGAGAAGTGACCTGTCTGAAACACCAGGGGGCGCCATGTGTCTTGAGAAAGAAAAGCTCCAACTCTTCCCTCAGCCTCAAAGCACGTGCCCTCCACGAGCTTGACAGGCCGCACAGGGGTGAGCAAAGTCAACAGGTATTTGCAAGGTGGTCAGGAAGACACGCTGCCCAGGGATGGCCAGTCTTATCCCCTACAAAGCACTGAATTTCAATAGTCGGAGACAGAAAACACTACGCCTGGACAGAGATTCAAAATTCAGAGCTCAAGTTTCAGAATTCTTAAAGGCAATGAGAGACACTCCAGAATACTTCTCCAGAACCACAAGTGGGAACTATGTGAAAGAGCATTTAAACCCGAGAACAGGAGTCTCTGCTTTACACAAAGGGTGGCGGGAGTGTGGAACAAGCTGCCCAGCCATGCTGTTGAGGCCGATACCCTGGATTCTCTAAAAAACACAGCTGGCTGAGATCCTCCAATCAGGACAGGAGGCTGTGCTCTACACAAAGGGTGGCGGGAGAGTGGAACAAGCTGCCCAGCCATTTTGTTGAGCCCAATACCCCGGATTCTCCAAAAACACAGCTGGCTGAGATCCTGGGATCAGGGGTCTCCTCTCGCCTGTGACCCCCCCCCTCGTGCTCGGGCTCTTACGATGGTGGGGGTTGGCGGGGTTGGTGAAGAACAGCACCCCGTCCTTGAGCAGGGCTCCGGCCGCCACCACGGGGTCCACGAGCGTCTCGTCGAAGCGCACGCTCTCCACGGGCAGCGTCTGGCAGCCGTCCTCGCTGCGCGCCAGCAGCCGGCAGCGGCAGTGGTACGCGTTCTGGTTGCGGGCGTTGACCACCACCGAGCCGTCGGGCATCTCCACCGGCTTCCAGGAGAGAGAGAGAGAGAGAGAGAGGCGGGGGGTGAGGCGGACAGAGAGGGGAACGGGACACAAGGACAACAGAGGTCAGTATCCACGGACAATGAGCTACTCAGGCAGGACAAGCAGAGACAGGCTGAGGCCAAGAGCTCAGAGCCAGAGCCAGGGCACTTGGTGACGATCAGCCAGCCAGATGGAAGAGGCTCAACATCAGGTGCATCACCTTGAGTGTTCGAAAACAAGTTTATTCGAAAATCCCTGAACCAGCATCCGAGTTACACCCCTCCCCCGTGTGCGAGAGACCTGCCTGGCACTCGTCTGGGTTGAAGTCCCCGGCGCGTTTCGGCTGGTTGTAAGGGATACTCTTCAGCGCTGCTCCGTTTCTCCAGGTCTGCCCGTGATCGTCGCTGAGCACACAGAACACCCCGTCCCCGCTGATCGTCCCGTGACCACACACTATCAGCCTGCCCTGAGCCGGGGGGAGGCGCTTCTACACGGACACAGACAGACCAATACACCAGG